GACCAAAGCTGTCTCTGTCCCATAGCCAGGTCTGAAGCCAGATTGAAAGGGATCTAGATAATCCTTTCATCCAGAAACTCCTGGAGCTGGGAGGCCACTACTCACTCCAGAACCTTATCCAAGCATGGAATATTAGAGACTGGACAATAGTTATCCAGAGTGGCGGAATACAAGGAGGTCTTTTTAAGTAATGGCCAAACAACAGCCTCCTTTAGCAAAGTGTCTTGCAAATTCTTCACAGCAAGCTGTTGAGTGGTCTATTTTCATCTTGGAGGCCAGAGTGTAAAAGCCTCTTGACCACTCAAAACAGCTCTGCTGGATAACACTACGCCAATGCAATGGTGGTAGAGAAATCAGTTTTATTTGCTGCATCCATTGCACCACATTAGGTCTTCCAATGCCTGGGTTCGGTCAGACTATGCCATGGTCACTTTAGTTTTAGTCCCATTCATTTCATCACCACCATCTCCCTAGTAAACCAGGGAGTATGTTTGGCTCAGGGGCAATCATGTCCACCACCCTGGCCATTTCCCTGTTCCACAGATCTGCCAGGGCTTCGACAGCCAAGGCAATAGGAAACTCCCCAAGAGCCATCAGGAATCCATCTGGATCCATAAGCCTCCTGGGGCAGACTATCTTAATCGGCCCTCCATCCCTGCAGAGGCTCTGTGTCCCAGTAAGTCTAAACCCTACCAGGTAGTGATCAGTGCATGACAATGGAAATACAGAGAGTTCCTCCACTCCCAGATCACCCTCATCCTGCCCTGAACAGAAAATCAGATCCAGTGTGTGTCCTGCAACATGGGTGGCACCAGATATTACTTGGGACAGCCCCATGGTTGTCATGGCAGACATGAAGTCCTGAGCCACTCCTGACAAAGCAGTCGCTGTGTGTATGTTGAAGTCCCCCAGGGCAACAAGCCAAGGGGACTCCAACACCACTGCAGAGACCAACTCAGGCAGGGAGACTGTTGTGCAGTGGGGTGGGCAGTACACCAACAGAATCCCTAATCTGTCCCTGCCCCCCACCTTTAGATAGACACACTCATACCAAGTAGATTGTGGGACAAGGCATCTGGTAAGAGAAGTGGAATATTGATAGATGACTGCAACTCTACCTCTCTGCCCCCTGCTGCTGTATGGAAAACCCAGGTGGAAAGAGCTCCATAATACAAGCCATGTCAGCATGCTCATCCAGGATCAAGTCCTGGATCAGAGATGTTTTCCCATTCACTGACCTGGCATTGAGCAGCAGCATTTTCAGCCTAGGGAGCCTGTTGCATAGGCTATCCATATGATTTGAAATGAGGGAAAGCTTGGGGGAAACTAACACCCTGAGACTCTCCCTTCTCCCAGAAGAGAAGTGCTGACTCCCCATGCCATATCTCCCCTTGCCCATTATGGTCATGATGGCTGCTACATGGGTTACTTCCCCTCCCCTAAAACTGCCTTCCTTGTAGCACATGTTCAGCTGCTAAAGGCAAGTTGCTTTAGGGTCACAGCCTAGAACAGTCCTCCAGATGGGCTAGCAACCACAAGCAAGCAGGTGGGACTCATATGTCAGGATACGGATAGGAGTTTTTCTCTCTCCTCTGTGCTAGGTCCCCTCAGTCCATCCCAGCACCCAGCTTATATCCCCTTTCTCAGGAGCAGGTGTTCCTCCCTGGCTATGTAGCCAGGAACCAGTTGAGTGTCTGGGCCTTGATTCTGGCAGGAAGCAGCTTCCAGAATCCTCCAGGTAGAGCAACAGGCAGGTGGTACCTCTTCTTGGGGTGTGGGGGTAGCAATTCTTCTCTCCCCTCTGTGCTAGCTCCCCTCTGTGGTCACACTATCACTCTATTCTGTTTTGGTCAGGCCTCACCTGAAATACTGTGTCCAGTTCTGGGCACCACAATTTAAAAACAAAAGTTGAGAAACTGGAGTGTGTCCATAACAGGATGACTAAAATGGTGAAGGGTCTGGAATGGCCTGCCGGATGAGATCCGTCAATTAACATCTTTGGACAGCTTCAAAAAGGCTGTCAAGACAGATCTCTTCTGGCAGGCCTCTCTGGAATAAATATCCTGGCCTCGGGTTCCCCCCCCCCCCTCAGCAGAACCTCTAGAACCCCTGTTTTCTTGGAAGAAAGTCACAGGGGTTGTTATGATTGTATTGTATTAATTTTAATTTTTGTTTTTATATTGCTAAATGGTTTTAATTATAATGTGGTTTAATAACGTTTTAAGGGGGGAGATAATGTTGTTTTATGTTGTGTGCTAATTTTTATGCTGTAAACTGCCTGGATTGGACTACCAATGGGCA